AAAGTATCAGCGTGTTTCAGAAGTAGAGAAAGTTAAACCTAAATACGACCATTAACGAAACTCAAAAGAAGGAGGCTAAGATAGATTGTTTTTCTGCAAATTTTTACATTTAGATTAAACAAAATTATCTCAAAGTTTAAAAAACTTCAGATTTTTGAACATCTCGGATATTGTTCTCTTTAATGCTGGAGACTTTAATCTGCGAGAATTGCCACGGTTTAGAAAATCTGATCAGTATTTTGCATTTTTTTTTATGGAGCCTCTCACATGGCATGGAGAACGCTTACGTTATATGCCGCTCAACTTTTTCAACTTGACAATAACATACAGGTAAAATTGAGAAACCGCACCACGTGGTTCGAAGAGTTTTTACGACAATGTTCTAAAAATTCCTAGTAAAACAAGTCAATTTTTGATGTCGAAGAGGAAGCATTATTCCGAACTTTGAAAAACGACGTCTCTCTTGTTTACAAATAGTCGTTTTTTAGGAAGCAGAGTGAAATTTTTTGGCCTTATTTTCAACTGGTGAAGATCAGTGATAATCCATTTGCTATAATTCCATGGGATTATAAGACGGTAAATACTGAATTGGTGTGCTGTTTGAGAACTTTTTTCTTTGCAGAGATCAAAAATAAAAACAGTTTTTCAAAATATGTCATTTGCAGGTCAGCGGTGTGATTGCAGTATATAAAAATTCATTCTCTAACGTTTTTGAATTCACATACTTTAAAAAAACCACATCAAATGTGAAAGTGGCATTTTGGCTCATTTTTTCTGCTTAACGTTAGCAAATATTTCAGATCAGACGAAGTCTCACTAGAAAAACAAAATCAGCTCTGCACTCCGTCTCTCGTTGTTCAACACATTCTAAACGTGAAGCTTATGTAGCTGAGCTAAGCAAGCATATTGACGTTACAGTAATTGATAGTTGTTCTAAAAGGTGCAGTAAACAGTGTGAGGAAAAGGCAATGAGTGAGAGAATATATTACTAGGATTTATCCTTGAAGATAGCAAAGATATTGGCGTTATTTACGTCAGTCTTTTTAAACTTATACTCTCTTTCTTCCCTCTCTTAACTTTTTCACCTTGTAGTAGTAGTGGTAGTAGTATAAATGTAAAGAGTAGGTAACCAAACTGCTGGGCAAGTTTTTAAGACAGTCCACTGAAGTAGGATGGTAGCAAATTGTAACTATGGTTCTTGTATGCGGGTCTAGAGTTTGTTTGTCGTCACGATCAATCAGAACTCATTCTTCTAACCTCGTTTGAACTGTAAAAACGACCGCACTTTTTTCATCTTGCTCATCTTTATTTTGAGAGACCAATAACTGTTTTTGACTGCCAAACTCGTAAAAGAGTGGACTGTTAGAAGACAATAAAGAGTATTGTTCTAGTTACTGTTTACAGCTTCTTTTCATGACTTTTATTATTGTACAAATCATTCAAATTTTACTAAAACCACTTAAGAACTCAACCTGAAATACTTAGGTGTTGAAAATCTGTTTAGACGAACATCTCTTTTATTTATCATTTGAAAAGAGCGTGTGTAAAGAATATGTCACTGAAAAGGTATTCGCAAGATTGGGGCAATTTTTACCTATTGTTCTCAAAAGATCTGTTTTGAAAAATGTACTACCGGATGAAGCATTTATTGCTGCTGATGATTTTGACTCGTCGAAACAGCTAGCCAATTATCTCAAACGTCTCAAAAACAACACAAAAGAACTTTTAAGGTTAGATTTTTAACGTCCGTTATCCAAGATAATCTAAGAATTGAAAAAAGATCTCATACTTTATAGGCATTTCTAGTGGACTAAGTTATATGGTTATGGAACCGGAGGTGGTTGTACATTATGCAAGTATCTTCATCAGCAGCCAAGACCGAAAAACATTCTCCGAGATGTTAAAAGCTGGTGGTTGAAGAACGCTAACTGTGACGTGCATTGCGATTTGAAATTATCAAGGAAAAGTGGTGGTTAATTAGGATTTTAATGACTATTGCAGGAGCACTGGAACTGTTTATCATTCTGCAACAGCTATCGTTATGGAAAATCCTTGACGCTTCGTCTAAAAAGCAATTGAACTTTGGAAAGCAAAACCTTCCTTTTTTTTGTCGTTGTTCTGGTAGCTGTTACTTATATTTGATAATTGTAACATAAATTTGGTTATTTAGCTAGAGTATCTTGCTTGAAATCTTTGATGGTCTTTTCTTAACAGGTTATCGTAAGTACGGAACTCTTCACTTTTTCTGTTTGGGTCTGTAACGTAGATGAGATGATTTTGAGTATGGTTTACTAGCGGGCTCAACAACTCGTTGGTTTACCAAATTTTTCAAGGAACTCGTACAACACAGAATCATAAACATCATCGCTTTACGCAATTTTTTGTAGAGCTAGCTATTCAAAATTTGATTTTTGACTATAGATAATGAGTATCTACAGAAGAAGGAAGCCTGAAAAAACAAAAAAGAGTTTGGAAGTTACCATTAATATAAGAATTTTGCTTACATTTGGGCGTACACAAGTCATATTTCAAACGCTGTAACAGCCCCTGTTATGAGCATTCCCTATTAATATGTGACAAATTTGTTGGAGCGAAATATTTCCTTAGACCACAATTTTCCGGCAGTCAGAAAGGTTCAAATAAAAACTGGTAGAGCAGCAAACAGCTTCTACTTTAGCTCTTGATTTTTACCTCAAAATGAGTTATTTGACCGCATTATGAAAAATGCGGACAAACGCGGTAACAGTATTAATATTTGGAAGAAGCGTTTTAGAATATAGCAGGAAAACAAAAGTAACAGATGTTGTCGCTAAATATTTAAACTCCTTGTAAGATTAAACTTATGTATGTCTATACATAGCAAAAGAAAAATAAATTTCTCATGCTGGTCGAAGACTTTACGGCCAACCTTTAGAAATAGTGGCAATGCTGTTGATCAGACATTATTTACTGT